GTAAAATTATTGATATTGGTCTCAATTATCAGATTTAAGAAAAACTGGATATACATTCATTTTCTTACTTTAGTCTCAAAATTTTTAATACAAAACCAGATAAGTTGGAAAATATTCTTACATATAAAGAATAACAGCCAAGAAGTAAAGTGATTTTTCAGGAGACTAGTGAAACAAATCTGACATCGAGAAGAACGTCGCTGTGTGCAGATCTATTACAAGAGTACTGATGATCTAGTTAAAGAAGTGAAATTGTCTTATATCTGCACTCCTCAAAAGTTACCTCAAGATATAGTATCTTTCATTTTGCTTCAGATACTGATCAAAATTATCTTGATCTGTAAACCACTGGCCACCTGCCATTCAAGAACAGGCTACATTTTGAAGAGAAGGTGATATTATGCAGAGAGTTCATAAAACAAACACACATAATTTGCAAAGTGCTTTCTGGTTTTGGGTGAAAGACTTTTCCACAGTATCAAATATTGCCCAGTTCTAACTTGTGTACAATTCTAACCACTCCACACTTTTTTTTTTTTTCTTAAATCACTTATACTCCACATATGTATACATATTTAATGGGGATAATTCAAAAGGGAAATTAATAACATTTCCACTCATTACCTTGTACTTCTGGACATAATCCTGAATGACTTTCTGTCCTACTACATTTTTTATATTCTCTTCATCCTGCTGACCTGCTGAATGACATTTTCCATCAGGGAAATCCAGCTCATAACTTCAGTGATAGCATGGCGAGAAGGAATTTTGTCCATCTGGAGCTGTAGAGATAACAGACTTAAAATGCATGTTGTGAAGAAAATTGATAAGAATTCCTTGTTTTGCATTACCATAGTACATTTCCTTTACCTGCTCTTATTACCATGTTATTCTACATCCCTAACGTATCACTGAAGTTTGTAAAAAAAAAAAAAGTTTTAGTAGGAGATATATAACTGCATGCATCCAACTCTTCTTGTGATGGTGATTTCTAGATGTGCTGATTTTGAACAGTACCTGTTTTTTCTTAAACAGTACCTTTTTTTCTTAAAAGACTCACTTTCAACATTTGATACAGTAGTGCTTGCTTACATTTAGTTACTCAGAAATGCGTTCTATGACATTTTTTGGCAGACATATATATTTTGCATTACAAGATGGTTCAGAGAACTACCTGAATGATGTTATTTTGTTTAATATAATAGACATAGGTAATTTTTGTTCCCCTTCCTCTCTCCCCCTAAATCACAATAATATTACTAACTCTGAAAGCATTCCAAATTATAAAGTGAAGCAAGCACTTAGACTGATAACCTCCTAGCTACTAAATACTAAGCAAACTTTTAGACCAGTATAATTCTTTAACTTCAGTATTATAGCATTAAAAAACCAAAACCACACAACCAAAACCCTCCTGCTCCTACATACACTAGAAGGAACCTTGCGCAATGTTTTTAGATTTATTTTGTCTTGCATAGACTTGAACCCAGTCTATACAATTTGAACAAAACCACCATCCACATCTGACAGGGCACAGGGATGTGAACTCCCTTTTTCCAAAAAGCATACCAACGTGTTGAAAAAACCCCTCATCTGTTCTTTGGGTAAAGTGTAATGAATGTAACTGTGAAAGTTTGACATTAACACCAATTGGTGTCAGACAGTGAAGGTAAACAGGATTTGGACATGAGTGTAAGCTTTCCCCTGTTAAAACAGGAGTAACATTGTTCCTATCTTGCCTCACATAGGTAAATTGAGGAAGGGAGCAACTATCTCTCAAAGGCAGCGCCAACCGTACGGTCTCAATTTTCTGGAATATTAAAGGCTTATCACTTGGCCTTCCTTACCTGGTGTAATTTCTCTTGTACTGCTGGGATTTGTGTGAGCAGCTCTGTCCACTGACTGTCAATGTGGGACAATCCTGCACGCAATGCTGCTGTATCCACCTTCTTTAGCCTGAGGAGCTGGTTCCCAGTACTCAGGACAGCAGATTTCTGTGATGATTTAGCATCCACTTCTTTTGAAAACTCCTGTAAGCAGAATCATTTTTGTGGAAATAATCAACTAGTTGTTTACTGTACTTAAAGCTTTACCTCAGAAAGCTAAGAATATCCTTCCTTCCCTTTAAAAATATGTACTTTCTATTAGTGTTTACCAGCTACACTTCAGATCAAGTGAGAACAAACATTATTTTCAGTCACAACACCATTTTCTGTTTTCAAAATCATCAAACTTTACAATGATTGCATATAGCAAAGGAGTGCTGAATGTGCAAACACACCAGTTTTTTGAAGGACCTACAGAAGCAGATTTTTTTTTTTTTTTTTTGCATACTCACTACTTCAATGATGAAAAAAAGTATAACCATATTATTTCTCAACTGTTTATTTTAACTGGAGAGAAAAGGTGTCCTAGGTCCATGAATAACTTACCAAAAAGGAGTTTAGGTGGTCTCGGACTGTTTCCAGTTCCTGAGGAACTGTCAAAGACTGCTGGCTCCAAAACTCAAGACGCTCCTTTGCAGATTGTAACCAAAGTGTCAGTTCACTTGATTCACTCTGATATCTGTAAAGATGTTTACAGAAAACTAAAACAGTCATCGCCACTTCTTGCCTCCAACTGTTAGAGGAAGATACTGTATGCCAGATTTAAAGTAAAACTATTTTCTTCCCTTTATTAAATTTCAGAAAAAATGTGATTTAATTTTAAAGATAGGCTTAGTATCAGGAAGCTCTTATTTTAGCCATTACACCCACAATTCCTAACAGCGCCTTCTTTTTGCCTCTTAGGAAAAAGTAAGTTTTGTTGAAGGACTAGTAACTAGTTTATCAATCTGTTTGAGCAAGCTGCAGCAGCACCCCACTCCACCTCACACACATAAACACATTTTTGCTTTCTATTAGAAGGCTCAATCTTCCAAAAGGTTTACCACAAGGTATCTCAGAGCAGAAATTTAATGGTTTTTTTTCCGAAACTATCTTCCTATCATTACATATGCCAAGCAAATAATGAGATGTCAGAATGAGAGTGTCTCCACATAACCTTTATACATACAATCCCTTTATGCATCTCTTCTGAAAGGCTAGTGAGCCAACAAGCCAGGGATATTACGAATAATAGACAAAGCTTGTCTATCACTTAGAGAATTCATTTCAAAAGTAGCATATGAATATTACCAAAGGCAGCTAAAAGCTCCCTTCCATATATGCAATGACACAGACCCACAAGAACCCAGCAGCGGCAATGCCCCTACCAGAACATGCTACCTAGCAAAGCACACACCCTTTCTCATCAACTTGTATTAACATGGACTTCTGACTTAGTCATCTAAATAACATTCTGACTTCCTCCCACCAGCTGTTATTTGGTACGTGTTTTATTGCAAATGAGAGAGTATGATAGCACTTGTATGGAACAGAAGTTGGACATTGTAGAGTAGTCAAACTATCACATACATCTCAAAGTACTTTCTTTTAAATGTTGAATCTAATAGTTCTGGGTTCAGAATGACTTTGACCTGAACAGCACAGGTGAAGAAGTTCATACTGTCCATTACATCAGCATTACCTTGTCCAGTGCTTCAGTATTGTCTCCAGTCTGTGAAGCTCCTTGGTAATCTTGCTGGTGTTACTCAACCAGCGTTCTCCTAGTTGGTTCAGTTGACTTTCGAGATCCGAGCAGCTAACAGAAAAAAGGAGCCTTTTCCCATCATCTAGCATTTGGTATAATTTAGGTTGGTATTCAGTCAGGTTAGATCTCAGATGCTGTAATGACAGAGGAGACTGTTAGATAGCTCTGCAGGTCTCTGTCAGCACACTTTCTCAACTGTTAGTTTTCTTTTATTCCATTTGTAGGATATCCGATGTCCCCACAGCACATCACATTTTTTCCCTCTGCTCCAGCTCTAGAACTCCCTGAGAACCATCATGCAGGTAACCCGCTCAAAATCTGAACATGCTGTCACAAAACCCCTCACTTCAATATGTCTATTGACACCTGCTTATGATGAACTGCCCCTAGGTGTAGATATTTTACACTTGAAAAGAACAACTTCAAAAGAATCTTTGTGGGGCAACACCATTTCTGAGAGAAATTGATTAAAATGTCAGAACTTAATCTACCATCTGCTGAAAACTCTACTGCAATGAAAGTTAAAGGTGTCCAATATCAACTTATTAACCATGGCCATACTTCAGCCCTTTCAATGCCTATCTTCAGCTCTCTGGTCATCTCAACTCGTCTTTTACTGATCTGCCCTCCTGCTATCCTGGCTACAAAAGAGAAGATTACCCCCTCCCATCCCCCTCCAAATCCCTGAACACAGAAGCCAATTGTTATGGCAAAAGAAAGCAAAAAAGGTACTGAAAAAGGAAAGGCCGTTAATACTCTTATCCTGAATCCAACCAGAAGCAGAGACAGATTTCATTTAAATGGCGACTTGTGGACGGGTACAGGATTTGTGTATGTGGGCAAATACTCCTGCCAGATTCCACTATCATTACACAAATAGTATAGACTTTTAAGACATCTGTATATTTGACTAATCTTGAGCACAAAATGTACATGCATTCCCATTTTTCACTCATGCTGAAAGTAATCTGAAGATAGTGTACAAAACCACCAGTTTCATGGTGAGTACATAAACTTTCTATCACTCTTCTTATTTTCTCTTTCACATAAATAGAGCTCTAATAACTTAACAGAATTTTTGTATTTATGGATGTATGTCTGTGTGTGTACTTATGTATAACATAAATACACAAATAAATATATAACTCCTAGAGAGTAGCACCAAAAATTCCAAGATAGCCATAAATTAATTATGATGGATTTTTAACCTAAATGTGCTCACAGGGAGAGGAAAAAAGGTATTAAAAATTATCCCATAGCAGAGTCTGAGAATCTGGATTTGAATAACCTGATTTATGTAACTGACAAGAGAAACAAAAGAGGAAAACTAATTTAGGGTCAGGACCAACACAAACAATGCCTAGCATTAAGCAAAACCAAAATAAAACCCACGCACAACAGATTGCTTATATTCTCCTTACATCATTGCAAAAGCAGAAAGCCGTCTAGTAAAAGAACAAGATACATAACAAATTCAGAGTAGGCAAGAAGTTAATTTGCAAGAATGATTTGGCATTTTTCTGTAAACAAAAATTTTTGTAAAACAAAACAAGAAAACAAAAAAAACACCCAACCAAAGTGTCTGGTGTATAACGAGACAAAGACAAAACACTAGACCAAAATTCTCATTTTGAGAACACATGGAAAAAACAGGATGTGGTAGAAAACCTGTATTTAAACTACTAGTTCTTGCTGTATTTGAGAAGGAGGAAGGCAACTTGGGGAACCACAGGTTGTTCAGCCTCACCTTACTCTCTGGTAAGATCATGGAGCACATCCCCTTGGAACCCATTTTCAAGGACAAAAAGGACCAAAAGGTAATCAGGAATATTCAGCTTGGATTCACTAACTTGACAGCCTTTTATGACAAAATTACTGTCTCTGTGGATGAGACTGACGTCAGTATGGCCTTTGACACCATCTCCCACAGGACCCTCATCTGGAATCGGAGAGAATGCAGGCTGGATAAATGGACTGTTACATGGGTTGAAAACTAGCTGCATTACCAGTCTCAAACAGTAGTGATCAAAGGCTTGATGTCTGGCTGGCAGACTAATGGGCAGAGTACTCCAGGGATTGTTGATATTTGACTCCAAACATCTTCAACATCTTCATTAATGACATGGATGATGATAGAGAGCACTCCCTCAGTAAATTTGTGGATGACATTAACGTAGGGAGAGTGCTTGATACAAAAAATGGCAGACTTACTCCAGAGATGCTTTGATAAACTTGAGTTTGGAGGCAGCAGAAACTTTAGGAAGCTCAACAAGAAGTGCCTTGAGCAGAATAACCCTGTTTCTCAGTACAGGCTAGGAAGGGAATGGTTAGTGTATTTAACTTGGCATCTTCCATAACCAAGACATCGTGAATAAGGCAAGCCACAGCACTGGCCTACATTAGGACTGTGAACAACCAACATAAGTTATTTTATTATGCCCATCTACATGGTGCTGATGAGGCCACATGCAGTGCATCTGATTCTGTCCTACCCCCACCTCCCACTGAGTTCAAGAAGAAGGAAGCAGTCAGGTTCTGTTGTAGAGCTATTAAGATGTTTAGAGACCTAGAGCACATGTCCTTTAAAAAGAGGCTGAGGGAGGTGTGCTTCTTTTAGATTGACAAACAGGAGACTAAGGGCCAATCTAATCTTATTAAAAAGATTATAGAGGTAAATGCTCCTCAGCAGTGCTACATAATATAAAAAGGACAATGGTGACAAGCTGAAAGTTGAAAGTTTAGACTGGGCATTAGAGAAAACCCTTTCAGTAGGAGGTGCACTGCAGTTGGTCCCCAGCTCAGCTGTGTGATCTCCATCTTTTGAGGTTTCCAATGCTGTGGCTGATCCAGCCCATGGCAACCACCCTGCTTCAAGTGGGAGGCTGGACTAGATGACCTTCAGAGGTCTCTTTCATCCAACTTTTCCATAAAGAATGCCTAAAAAGCACCAACCTGAAAAAGTGTAATCCGGTCTGTAAGCCTGTCCTCCGTCTCTTCCACCAAACCAACCGTGGGGATGCTACCTTCAACAGTCTCCAGCTGTCTGGTAAGTTCCTGGTAATCCTCATCCAGATGCATCCAGGTCTGCAAGCACAAATTATCCATGTATACGGTGAATATTGATCTGGGTATCTAGAATTTTTATTACTTGCTTTCTCAATCTGAAATCCTATAGCTGCATTGTTGTGAATGCACGGAAATAACAGTACAAACGTCCAATGAACCTATAATAAGACACCACCTCTGTGTTAAGCTCAGCATTTAGTTAGAACACATGGATAAAGCTGTCGTGTTCTCCCTGTCAGCTAAAGCTAAGCAGGTCCTTTAAATTTAGAGGAACACAACTTGTGTCACCTGAAGGTCACAACAGTTGAATAGAAAAGATTACACGTAGACTATCAGTGCCTTATGTGTATCACAAAAGGGACTGATGTCCATCAATTCTGTCCAAGCACAGGAAATCAACATTAAAAAATATCCTAGTGGTTGATCACAACATCAGTACAGAAAAGACCACAGAAATTCTCACCTCTAGAATGTATTCCAGCTCCACACCTCGTTTATGAGCCAGCTTTAATACAGCTGAAGCTTGTGTCATTAGCTCTGAATGTGACTGAGTTTCCTTCAAGAGGGCAAAGCTACTCATCTTTCTAAAGAGCGTTTCCGTCAGGATCATGTGAGACTCCAACCCCTGAAAATATTCCTGAGAAATTTGGGTGTGAAGGGGAGGGTAAAGAGAGAACAGAAAAGAGAAAGTGCAATTGTTAATTCATTACCACTAAAACAACATTTTAAGACAACAGCAGTACAATCAAGTAACTGTAGACATAGAATTAAGTAAACTTTTCACTCCACCAACATTTCACAAAATCCAACACACAATATAAAAAAAGACAATGGCCTTTTTAAAAAAGAAAGAGGTCATCCTTTCCACACAAATTCTATCCCAACTCTCATTCAATAAACAAAAATAGCTTAAATCAGACATACACCATCAAAAAAATTCTGCCTAATAAAAAAATGTGGGAAAGTCTTGTTATATTTTGTGGGTGCTATTAGCCAACATAAATTTCCATTGGAAAAAAACAGAGCGGTGGATGAAATTGCTATGTAGCATGACAGGACAAGAATAGGAACTTGTTATTAGAATGAGGAAGCAAATATGATCTACCTGGGTTCACCTTCAACACAGCATTTGAAAGTTATTCAGCCAGAACAGTTCACTGATTCCAATTTAAAATACAGTAAGTTTTAACACATCCTGATTTAGTACTGGCCCACCATTCTGAATAGATCCTGAACCTTTAGGAACAGAAAGTTAGCAATTTGCTGTGTACAAGCTTACAGTCATGATTAGGCCTGAACTATGTCCCAGTTTCTTACCTTATGTTTGTCAAGTAGTGACTGAACCTCTTCCTTTGAAGCAACAATAATTTTCTGGTCACCAGCCATCTTTTCTTGGCCTGTTTCTAACAGGTCAGCCAGGTCCTGCAAAGCCCGTTCATACTGCCTCTTAAGAGCCAGATTCTGATTCAGGTCACTCCGTCTGGATCCAATGATCATCATAAGCTCATCATACATATCCTCGGGGGCAAAGAGTAGCAATGGTGATTCTTATTGCACACCTTACATGTCTTCCTATAAGCAACCCTACTGTCCCTGTATTCCTCTGTGTAGCAGAATAACATCTATTCCCAGCTCAAAAAGACTGTGCAGATATACTGACTTAATTGATAAATTAACAACTCACCTTTTAAAGAGAGAAAAAATCAGCAACACCTGCAAGTCTTTCAAGTGCATGCATTCTGGAGCAAAGTTAAAGCAAGCCCTTGGGATTCTGCTAAGTAGCAAAGGAGTAGTGCGATTGGGCTTAAGTCATCAAAATCCAGACTACTGTGTGGCTACTGCACACAGCAGATGCTGTTTATGTTTTGCTTCTTATAGCGCTAGGGGTTGGATGGACTCCATCATGGCTACAGACTATAGGCATCTCAAAGCCAGATTGGTCTCCCTCCCAGCAGCTTATTGGTAGCAAGCAAGATACATACAACCCATAGGAAAAACCAAACCAGGCCCAAAATAGCCATATACTCTATATATAGAACAGTAAAGTGCAGAAAAAGTGCAGTGAGTATTTCACAGTATGCCTGTACTGCCAAATTACAAAACGAGCCAAAAAGAAGAATCTCATCAGTTCCCATGTGCTATTACTAATCTTGTAGAGCGCAACCATAAAAGTAAGAACAACCTACAGGTACTTTTCTTCACCTGAACAGGATTAGATTCTTGTTTTGGTTTTGAGAATTGTATTCGCAGAACATACATCTGACTGTGAGGGTAAGCTTGTGCTTTTGATCAAGACAAGACACCCAGAAATTAATAAACCAAAATATCTCTATGACCATCCAGTGCTACAGCAAAGTACCCACCCTCAGACTGCAGCTGGTTCTCCTAGATTTAAAGCGACAACTGTGAGAAACACAACTGTCAAAAAAGCAAAGGGAAGCCTTTTCTAAAAACTTAAATCAATGGGAAGGGCATATCTATGCATAACCTGACAGCATAAAAAAGCAGGAGGCTCTAAGACCAAAAGGATAAAGAACCAGGCAAAACACATTTGCACAAACTCTTTGTCACTCTTTTTTTATTGACATCATTGTTTTGTTGGCTTAATAAGTTTATGGTCCAGTTTCAGCTGTTTTCTTTGCTTCCAATTTATTATTATGTCATTATAAAGGGTAAAATTCAGTCGTAAACTTTCTCCTTGATCTTTCCTCAAGCATTCTCCTGCCTCAGCACCAAACTGCTCACAAAGGAGTTTCAACAGCCTCATTAAAGTTCTGGATCAACTGCCCCCATGCATCTACTTCAGAGAGCCTTAAGATAAAGAGTCCTACTACTTAGGTGTGTTCAAAACCAAGTTAACTGAAAGTATGCGGGAACATAAGAGGTGTTCTAGTAAAAGCAGAACATCTCCACTTTCAGGTCACACTTAGCTATCTATCCCCCTTCACCCCCCTCCTTTACTTTTTTTAATGATGGATGTGAGAGAAAACTAAACCCCAGATCATGAGACACTGGTGAGAACAGGGCTCAACCTTCAGCAGACATTTATGTTTACAAGCTTAACTTTATCTATTTGAACAGGGACTCAACAAGAGCTGAAAAAAACCATATTTTTGTGTGTTTTTATGATTAACACTACTAATAATAGAGATGCTAGAAAATTTGAAAATGCAAAAGTAGAAAAACTAGGTGAATCGGGGAGAAAATAACCTTTTATACGCACTAAAATGCTTTCAAATGCACTTTCCTAGACTGCCTTATGAATAATAAAAAGGACCATACTAACAACTTTGATATCACCAAACAGGTCTAGGATGGAACTTAAGAACCATACCTGGATCTTAGACAGCTCTTGCACAGAAGCTTGGTCAATTTGTAGCTTGTCTACATGCTTCTTTAATTCATTAATTCCAGTATCTAGTTCCTTCAAACCTTCTTCTGCCTGCAGTATGACCTGTATTTGAAAATGACATCATTTAGTTTGAAGGTTTAATAACAGTACTGTAGCTGCCGTACGGTAATACTCTTTTCTGTTTTCTGCCTGAAGTGTTAATCAGTCTTTCAGTCTGCTGAAATTTTAAAGTATACTATAAAGAAAAAAATATTAATTCCAAGTTGGGAGAGCCCAGCTTGTTTCTTAAAGTTAAATACAATGTGGCACTATTATTTTCTTTAATAACAAACTGGTTTAGTATCATACACTATTTTAAACAAAACCTTGCTGTGAAGTTCCACACTTTTAATTATACAGTACAGACACAAAAGGATTATTAGTTGTTCTAACACCTTCTTTTAAAGCATTCTTTTTATTAACACTCATTCCTGTCATATCTGAGCACCAAGCAAACAACCATCACAGCAAAAGACACACGACACCAAAGAGCTGTGCACAGTTCCCTTACTGGACTGGGATAGGGCCAAAATTACTGTCAAGGAAAAGGACTTGTACATCCCTTTTTGTACTTGGAAAACGACAACTGAAAGCACACAGGTTGGTATTTGCAAGTGTATGCAGGTAATAATTGGACTTTTTTCAATGGAAGCTACAAGAAACAAGGTCTTTCTGCCTAGGAGTCTCTGGTGAATTAAGGCATCCAAGCTATAATAAAGTTAAAAGCACACAGTAGGCTTCCTGTAGTTAAAGTCCTTTGTTAAGGCCCTTTCTTGGAAACTGCATATTCAAATGCTTAAACTATATATGTGAGTAGAACTCCTGACTCCCAGTAGTGCAAAGTATGCATAATACAGTCACTAAACTTACTCTTCATGCAGCTAAGTTACCTGGCTGATTGAGGGTCTTGTTTCTACTTTCCCAATCACATCTTGAACAAACAGCAACGTTTTTAAATTTGACTGTTTTATCAGCCAAGGTAGATGTTCAGAAAAAAATCATTCAGTTGTCTTTGTTACCATGTCATTTTTGTATTTGGTAGTTAAATTAATCATATAGGAGCTGAATTTTTACCAGTCTTTCATATCATAGGAAAGAAAGACAGAGACTGCTAGCTCTCTTACTCATATATGAATTAAAATTCCTTCAAAATCTGATTATCAGATATATAAAGGCCAGTATTTCTGTTTAGCTGAAGTAGGGTAAGTCTTAGGGTAAGTCTCTTCCTCCCAGTCACCTGCTGGAACCAGACAACAGTAGCTCTTGGGTAGCATGAAACATCTGTAGAAAGTAGCCCTTAACATACTTCATTCACTTTTCTTGTTGACAAAAAAGGAACAAGGAAACAGGAAGTATTTTGTCATATTATTAATTATTCAACAGGCAATTCCTGATAAAGAAAAAATAATTATTGCCTTAAATTAAAATGAATAACAGTCAAGATATTACTATAAACCAGTGCAGAAGGAAGTGCCTTTGGGTTTTAATGAAGTGTAATAGCTGAACAATTTAGCCAAACTTTAGACTTTTTTTGGTTCATCGAAGTTTTCTTTCTTTCAAATAGTGCCCAATATGTGCATAACTATGTCACCTGGGGAGATAAGAAAGACACTCTGTGTTTGTTTTTTTTTTGTAAATTTATAAACATGTGTAGTACACTGCTGGAAGTACTTATTTTCACATACTTTATGTGAACACATACATTCTCCCATAGAAAGCAACTGTTCCCTAGAATCCAGTTATATCTTGAATAGAAACTTTATCTCTTCCCTTCCCCTGGCCCAAGTAATAGACATTTGGTAATACCTGCATTTGCTCTGTTTCCGGTCTCTCAACTGCCTCTGCTAGTTTCTGTAGAACTAAATATTTGTTATCAGCCACAGATGTAAACAGAAGCTTCAGATCATTCTACGGGAGACAACAACAACAAATTATAGCTCATCACAGCACAAACCAACTGAAAATATTTTACGTTCCAAAAAGTTCAAAGCATTACAATGTTACAATGTCAGCACTAAGGCATAAAAACTATTTAACATTGGAAGCCCCATAATTATCCAATGCAAAACACGCAACATTGCTGAAAATCCGTATCTGCATATATATGAGGAAAAAGCTAAACCAACTCCTACTCAAAACATAACCTGTGAACACACTTCTGCTTTTGCCTTCCAATTAGATAATTATTTAGCAAGGGTCAGTTAGCTTCATTTAACAAAAATACATTATTCTTGTGTAGTTTGTTTAATCACACATGCTCATAAATAAGCTACGTTTTACTTTTTAAGGCAAGCTTTTTTCATTACAAACTTGATCAAATATAACAAAAAAGTAAACAAGGCTTCAACACATTACAGGGCTAACTACACATTACAACTTTTAGAGTACCTTCTCAGACTAGACAGATACATATTACATAACATTTTTTTTTTTATGCATTCATAGAATCATAGAATCATTTAGGTTGGAAAAGACCTTTAAGATCATCCAGTCCAACCATTAACCTAACACTACCAAGTCCACACTAAACCAATCAAGGGTAGACTAGACTAAACCATGTCCCAGAGTGCCACGTCTACCCGTTTTTTGAAGGCTTCCTGGGATGGTGACTCCACCACCTCTCTGGGCAGCCTGTTCCAATGCTTGACTACCCTTTCCGTGCAGAAATCTCTCCTAATATCCAATCTAAACCTCCCCTGGCGCAGCTTGAGCCCATTTCCTCTTGTCCTATTGCTAACTACCTGGGAGAAGAGACCAGCACCCACCTCACTACAACCTCCTTTCAGGTAGTTGTAGAGAGCGATAAGGTCTCCCCTCAGCCTCCTCTTCTCCAGGCTAAACAATCCCAGTTCCCTCAGCCGCTCCTCATAAGGCCTGTGCTCCAGACCCTTCACCAGCATCATTGCCCTTCTCTGGACATGCTCCAGCACCTCAATGTCTTTTCTTTTTATCACAGCTAATAAAAACAGTGTACTCTATCATTTATGAAATTATAAAATGTGTAGAGTGGAACTCTAAAGTTGCTTTTTCTCCTTTGAGAACAGTAGTTGACAACTTCCATTTATTGCAATGCCAGCAGGCTGAGAAAGTGTGGGGTGAATGATCACTTCTACAGTAATTGCATGAATTGCAGAATGCTTCTAGCAGAGAGTTTAAATTTTGGATCATGATTTGGGTGCCAAGTTTTCATAGCCTAAGAAGTAGTCTGATTTTCAGTAAAAACCTGTGAAAACTTGTCCTCTTGATTAGGTACCAAAAATTCTCATTGCTTTGAGAATCACATCCTTTATATCCCCATTTGACATGTACCCCTGTTAATTCCTTCAGCTGGGCATCATACCTTGAAAGTCAATATTTGCTGAAGCCTTCCTTTCATCTGGTGGCATCTCTGGTTTACTACTGACTCCAGCAAGGTCAGTCTTCTCAGGAGACAATCCAAAGTGTCTTCTATAATATCCCTATTATCACCATTCTCGGGAAATATCTGAGCAAACAGATTCTTGTTCTTATCCATTTCTTCTGTTATCTCTTTGATTTCTTTGGCAAGAGACTGATTTTGTAGAAGAAAAAACAAAGTGACAATTAGACATTCTAGAAAGCTGGCAAACATATTGCCATAACCATTGCCAATTTTGCAGTGATGCAGTGACTTTTTTACATTGTTAATATACACACACTAGATGAAGTTATGCAGCTACAGTACTTCTGAAAATAAAAAAAAAAACCCAGACTGCTCTGAGAAAAACAAGTGCTGAAACAAAATAAACCTGCCTGAATAAAGGGCTTTGTGAAGCAGAAATCCATGTAGCTGCTGGAAAAGTCTTTTTCCCTCCCTCTCCCTCTCCTCTCCTCCTCTCCATTTCATGTTGAGTTTTACTGTTTCCATATCCCAGACCACTCCTCCCTCTTTTTCACTTAATTTCAATTTCAACACTGTGGTGTTTGCTAATACTTAGCAAAGCAGCTAAACAGAAGAAAGACTCTATGTTTAATTCTCTTCTGACCAGGCAAAATTCAGGTCAGGTGCTGCTTTTTGCAACATTTTTGTATTGAGTTTGCATGGCAAGGATTTGGTAGCAGGAGGTCTACAGGGGTGGCTTCTGTGAAAAGCTGCTAGAAGCTTCCCCTATGTCCAATAAAGCCAATGCCAGCTGGCTCCAAGACAGACCCACCACTGGCCAAGGCTGGGCCTATCAGCCACAGTGGTAGCACCTCTGGGATAGCATGTTTAAGAAGGGGGGAAAAAAAACTGCGCAACTCAGCTGGAGAGAGGAGTGAGAATATGTGAGAGGAACAACTCTGCAGACACCAAGGTCAGTGAAGAAGGAGCGGGAGGAGATGCTCCAGGTACTGGAGCAGAGATTCCCCTGCAGCCTGGGGTGAAGACCATGGTGAGGCAGGCTGTCCCCCTGCAGCCCATGCAGGTCCATGATGGAGCAGATATCCACCTGTAGCATGTGGAGAACCCATGCCAGAGAAGGTGGATGCACCTGAAGGAGGCTGTGACCCCATGGGAAGCCCGCGCTGGAGCAGGCTCCTGGCAGGACCTGTGGACCCATGGAGAGAGGAGCCCAGGCTGGAGCAGGTTTGCTGGCAGGACTTGTGACCCCATGGGGGACCCATGCTGGAGCAGTCTGCTCCTGAAGGACTGCACCCGTGGAAAGGACTCATGCTGGAGCAGTTCTTGAAGAACTGTAGCCCATGGGAATGACTCACATTGGAGAAGTTCGTGGAGGACTGTCTCCCGTGGGAGGGACCCCATGCTGGAGCAGGGGAAGAGTGTGAGGAGTCCTCCCCTTGAGCAGGAAGGAGCAGCAGAGACAACGTGTGATGAACTGACCACAATCCCCATTCCCTGTCCTCCTGTGCTGCTGGAGGGGAGGAGGTAGAGAATTTTGGAGTAAAGTTGAGCCCAGGAAGAAGGGAAGGGTGGGGCCTTTAAGATTTAGTTTTTATTTCTCATTATCCTACTTTGATTTTGACTGGTTACAAAATTAAACTAATTTTGCCAAGTTGAGTCTGTGTTGCCCATGAGAGTAATTGCTGAGTGATCTCCCTGTCTTTATCTTGACACGCAAGCCTTTCATTATATTTTCTCTCCCCTGTCCAGCTGAGGAGGGGGAGTGATAGAGCAGCTTTGGTGGGCACCTGTCATCCAGCCAGGGTCAACCCACCACAGTTCTCTACACAATGAATAAAGTTACTTCTAAACAGTAGCAGAATACTGCAATTACATCGAATGATGACAGTGACATGTCACTATCTAGGATTCTAATAATTTCTTTCTAAACACTACATAAAACGCACCCTTATTGGCAATTTAAAGAAAGTCCTATTCATGGATTCTTTACCTCTTGCTTGCAGAGGTATGTTTCTGTTTCTTCCTCTGGCAACAGAGCTGTAGCAACAAAGACCTGTTCTTCCACACCATCTAGCCACAAGGAGGTGGCTGCAACACCATCATACAGCTTCTGTTCAAGATGCAGGCTCTCCTCCAGCTGTCCAGCCTGGGCAAAAGGAACCAGAGAAGTCGCGAGCAGAAGTACAAGATACTCTATCTAACATCTAATATTTGGGAAAGGGATGGATTTCCAGGTGGGACCTAGAGGAGTTTTCATTGTAAATGTGGCTCTGCTGGAAGATAGATGTAAATACAATTGAAATGTTACCTCAGACGACACATCTTCAAAGGCCTGATTCAATTCAACCAATACTGGTGACACTGAAGATTTATCTTCATCCTGTCCTTCCTCCTTATACAAAGGCATTCCAGATACCAGTCTGTTTGGTCTGCTATAAAACTGCTGAGAGAGAAGTACTAATTAGAGTGCTTCTGCCTCACATATAGGGCACAAAATTCAGCTATACAGATTCTACTGCTGACTGAGGATATCACCAAATAATGCTCATGGCCCTTCCACGACTGTTCTGTCATGAATATCTTGAAAAAAAGATTGCTCTACAGGAGGTTCACTAGAAGTGCAGAATAAATACTTGTGGCCAGAATTAGCAATGGCTTGTTTTTACCAAATAAAAAAAATTAATTACTGTGAAATGAATACAAGATATTTGGAACTTTGGAAGCTGATTTTAATGTAGCATTATATAAAGAATAGTGGGCCCGGGTCTATTAAAAATAAAATGGAGGATGTACATTAATATAGATCTTGGACTGTTCCCAATTTAGTTGATTAATCCCTGCTACTTCCAGTAAAAATTCTGTGGATGAATCACTTGCTTCTTTGTCACATACTAAGACCAAGAATTGAATGTAACTAATAAATTCAAACTGAAAATATTAGTTTTTCCTCTAAGTTGTTGCTAGAGTACTGGTCAATTTCAGAGGGACGATTTGTTACAGAATTATCCTGGGTTAGATAAGTAGATCAAAATTTTGCCTAAGCTCTTTCTTCCTTTGTAGTTTATTCACTTGAATGGTAGTGCAATTCAAATCACTCTGGACAAGAACAGTGCTAGTGCCAATATTTAACAGTTTTTAAAGATGTCACAAAAATAAATTGTTCCATATTCTTTGCATTAACTACATTACTTTAATGCATCTGCTATGCACATACTGTACCTCATGTTGTGACAACTGCTTTCATAGAGAAAAAGCAAAGAGAAATTAAAAATAGCTACCAGCTGTTCTTGTTCCAAAGCCTTCTGGAGCAGCCTTTGCTTGGTATTGAATTCCTGGTTCAGGCTTTCCCATTTCATCTTCCTCTGTTCTTCAGATGATGGCTTTTCTCCTTCCAAGACTAATTCCTCAGAGAGCTTATCAGGCTTCTCACTGAATGGCAAGATGCATAATGTTTTAACAAATACAAAAGTTAAAACAGCATAAGGTGTTTATTTCCTCTTTCAGTTAGGAAAGTCTACATTTAAATTGCTACTTCTTAAAGCTTTTTTGCTTGGGTTTTTTTTCAGATAGTAAGAAAACGGCTGGTGTGTAACTGCAAGAAGTTCTTGACTGATAGGATAAAATGTACTTTCTAAGAAACTGTTTAGACTTGCTAGTACCCACACTAAGTAGGAACCCCCAAAACAGACTGAATATATACTACATTGAAATGTAACCTTTAAACAAGTTTCACTTCAAAGCATGAAATAAAAAAAAAATATTTTATCTGACTCCTTCCTCACCTCCCCTCTCAAAATGCCAGACATACCCTGACATCTTAATGCAGGACAAGCACATGAGTTTAGCTTTGGTAAACAGTGAAGTTCAGCGCTTTCTGTTTCATTTTTTTGTTTGTTACTATAGTATAACATGTTGTGACAGAAGGAAGCCTCAAAAAGGAGGTAAGCACTTTCTAGCATTACAATAAAAAACCACATTGAATTACACAAATGCTAAGGAAAAGCACTTACTGAGTACCACTTACATTCCCTATGCATGTCTTGGATCTGCTGCCTTGTAAACTACCTTTATGCTCTAGACTTTGTCATGCTGGAGGAGCCACAAATGTGCTCACTACTGCTGAGATACATCAATGAAGTATTTCAACTGAAGGGTTGATTGCTCCTTGATTCTCAAGCTGACAGTGTTCACCATGGTTTCCTCTTCCCAAGACCCGGCCCCTCCTGATCCCTCAAGGTCTGCATCAGCAGCAGGCAGTTATTTTCTTCTGCCTTTGCTACGGCAGAAGTCTCTCCCAGCCAGAGCAGAGGCTTTTATAGATATCTACTTCCCCAAAATGAGCAAGTGTGCAAGAAAACATAGACCAGAGATGAAATTCGAAATGCACGAGGCTTCAAAAAGAAAAATATTCACTAACTACAGGAAAAATAAAATCAAGTAATGAGTATTTAATCGGTGAAGATCTGGTTATAATGGCAGACTACAATGTTTTAGAGATCAGCTATGATTCACACACCAATGCTGGACCATAAAGCTATAGTAACTGATCCACTGCTTGTCTAATGAATCCTATTTATTTGTAACTTTAGTGTGATGCTTGATAATAAGAATAAAAGGAATTTCTAATTGCTAAAGGTGATCTAGTAGCACAAATCAGTTTGTGTAACTATATTATCGGACTCCTCAATTATAAACCAGGACTCCAGTATCCTAGGTGCTGTATAAAACTGATAAAACAAAAATTAGTGGATTATATGCACAAGAGGGGTATAAACATAAGGATGACAAAGCACAGAGTCATAGAAATTTACTTCTCAGAAGAACACACGAAAGCACACCTTATACATAGGCCTTCTGGAGCACCTTGCTGTGTTAGGATTTCTTCTCCACGGCATGCTACTGACCGAAGCAAATTCTTCTGCTCTTCTAGCTCTTGTTCCAGCTCCTAGCATAGCAAGTTATAAAACCCAAAACAAACCTCAGATTGTTTTTGCCTTGGAAGGATATGTCTACATTGCATAACTGTCACGCAAAGATAGCTGAGCTATTTCTGATATGGCTTGCTTGAGCACCAAAAGCAGTACAAGATCTCCACCCAGGGACACAGAAATATTGGGTATATAAATGGGATTGTTGAACTAATTGACTAATGCAATGCAGTTTCTGGAACCTAACCTGGCAAGGATATCTGTGTATCATTCAACATGATACACCTTGTAACGTGTGTATCTTTGCTTCTATAAAGACAATGTTGATTACTGTTTTGAACAAATACCATCATCTCCTTACAGTAACTCTAAGGGTTGATTCAATTTAATTTTACTAATGGACAATGGAATTACAGAGTGATTAAGTGAGTTGACCCTGGTCACCCAGGAAGTCTAGTCTGCCTGGCTGTTACAGATATAAAACAGTGAGCCCAGATGCCTCATTACAAAGGCACTGAGTAAGAAGCAGTGTAAAAACGATGATTTCAGTGGAAATACGAATGGCTCAGCTACAGCGTTAAGCACAATCTAAAGATGGGAGTGAAAGAAATGCAAAACACCAACTTTCTGTTGCTGCAGGGTGCTCTGCTGCTGCTGTGAGCGAGTGGTTCTTGCTTGTACCAGCCATTCTTGGACACTGGGGCTTTGTGAGGAAACAAAGTCCAGATCACTCTCCTCCTTTTCTTGTAATGATCCCTGCTTTAAGAGAAAGAAATAAAGATTTTACAAACTCTCTTATGTAGCTAGAGAGCTGACAGGTCCAGCTCAACACAAAACCACAAGCCACCTTCCACCTCTCAACCTGCAGGCTCACATAAATTCTGAAGTGAGCAATGACTTTAGATTTCTGACTTGTACTGGTCAGTGGTTACTAGCAAGAAAGCTTCAAGAGCTAAAGTGGGGGCTTAATTGCTCTCCCATTTTGTTTATATGCCTCATTTTTGTAGGATTCATATTTTGCCCGTGATTGCGCTCTTCTTCTAAATACAGCGAGAGCAGCGAATAGTTCAGACTTTAGAGCAGGCTCTCCAAAATGAAAATACGCTCCACCTTCCAGAGAGCCTTTGTCTCAAATCAGGCAGGGCCGAAGGTGGCTGAGGAAACCCCTCTCACCTCACCTGGTGCTCCTTATACTAACAATTGGGGTGGACCTCTGCCCCCGTTGACCCTGGCATCAGGCACTGAAACAGCAGAGTTTTACTAAATAGTAGAAGTTAGGTGTAAGATTTCAGTTTTGGGGGATGATGAGTATACTGAAATTGAAAGGACTGATTAGTGTTAGAGGATATAAACTGTAAGAGGAGCAAAACAAGCAAGCAGGTATGTGGAACTGGAAAGAACCATTGGCCCTTGCTCTATGAAATGGCTTTGTTTCACTAAGGATTCAGTTTGCAGATAAACTGTGATACTTTTCTTTGTAGGAACGAGTTTCTAGAAAAGCTGATGTGGTTAGTGTGTGAACAATGTCATTATAGGATACCAGATTAGGCAAAGAAAATATATGAGGGATAAAGAGGGTCTATGTTCTGGTTTTGGCTGGGATAGAGTTAATTTTCTTCC